TGAAACTCCATATCATGGATTATCAAGGATTATTTCTGAAACAGTATGGAGCTCAAAGGCTTTCTCTCTTGCCGGTTATACCACAAGGTGAGTTCCCTTTTTATTTCCTGCTTCTTCACACACTGCTCTCCAGTACAGGTTAGCTCTGAGTGTTAGCCATGCTAATGTAAACACCGACCATATTACGTCCAAAACAGTCGGGCATTGTTTCTGATAGCAACGTTTCTGATAGGGCCGTGGGTCCACATTTCAGATATTACGTCATATCGAACGCAAATCTGGATCAGCTCCGTTGTTCCCCCGTTTTTAGAGATTTGGGTACGGAGGAAAAGAGAGAGGGTTTTATTTCCTGACGCTGCGTGAGTTCCCTGACACACCGGGGACACATGGTGATGAAGAGAAGACATCAAAAAGTGACTTTAAATCAAGAAGGTTTAGTCAGTAAAGCTGTAAGTATCAGGCAATAGATAGAAAAATAACTTCTAAGAGAAGTCAGAGAATGAAAACAATGTTCTGCTATTTTTTTTAAATATAATATTAAAGTCATTTTCATTTTTTCACAAATACTTTCCCCAAATTATTCTGCAATTTTTTGACATGTTTTATATATATATATATATATATATATATATCTCGGGACATTTTTCTTATTTTTTGGGAAATGTTTCATTTATTTTTAGGTATGGGACATTTTTCATATATTTCTTGGAAATCTTTCAAATAGTTTTTGGACATTTTCCATATAATTCTTCATATATATTTTTGGGGAATTCTTTCTTATATTTCTTGAATTATTTTAAATACATAACCAACAGCATTGACAACACACATTTTTAACATTCATATTTCAATGCTGCACTTGTTAACAGCAGATTATTTAAAGATATCATCTGATGATCCATGCATCCCTGTTAGTTTACCTTCTCTCCGTCTCAGGTGTGGACGAGCTGCTGCTGAGCCCCAGAGACTCCTGGAGGAGAGGAACAAGAGACAATTCATTCATAAAAATATCAACCATGCGATCATTACTGAGCTGTTTTTAGAGGTCACATTTATAGTGATTTGTAGGTCTTTTTAAGCAACGAGACTTTAACACATGATGGCGTTTCCCTTTAAAGGAAACATTAGAGTTATGCAGACGCAGGAGCAGATAGAGACTGAATCAGGGATGTATTTATCTTGAATTGGTTGATCTTTTAAAATCTTGTAATCTAGGGTCAACAAACTCCTCTCACGTACTGGGTCACATTTGAACATTTTCAGGAATTGTTGTGTTCCCGTCTCAAGGCTCTTCAGTTCCTCTCATGACTCGGCATTTTACACACCTCTTATCATCTCTGTGACGCACCGCACACCACACACACACACACACACACACACACACACACACACACACACACACACACACACACACACACACACACACACACACACACCACACACACACACACACACACACACACACACACACACACACACACACACACCACACACACACACACACACACACACACACACACACACACACAACACACCACACACACACACACCACACACACACACCACACACACACACACACACACACACACCACACACACACACACACACACACACACACACACTCACCTGGAGCTGAGAGCGCAGCTTGCAGCGAGGTCACTGAGTCAACGGTACCCTGAAAACACAACCACAAAAATTACAGATTGGTCTAACCAAAGACCAGAGAATACACACACACTTAGCCACATCATGATAACAGCAGAGTGGTTGTGTGTGTGTTAGTTATGACTCATCTGCAGCTGCGACACACACACGTTCAAACTGTCTATTTTTATTTTATGAGATGTTTCTAACTTCACTTATTTGGAACAGCATGGAAATATACTCTCAGCAGAAGACACTTTTGACTTCTTGCACATTTTAGATTTTTTTTCATAATGTAAAAAATGTTTCCAGAATTTTGAAATCTTAGAATTTTGATTTTGTTGAGAACTTTTATGACTATTCAGAATTCTGCCTTTTCTCAGGATTTTCTTAGAATTCAGCTTGTTTGCGTTTTTTTATGCAAATTCTGAATTGTTGCGAATGTTGACGTCTTTCTCAGGATTTTGAATTTTTCTCAGAATTTTAAACTTTTTCTCAGGATTTTGAATATTTGACTTTTTTCCAAATTCACACTTTTTTCTCGAATGTTTTCCGAATTAGAATTCGTTACAGAACTTTTTCTGAATTTCCCACCTAATTACAAATAAATCTTAACAATAAAAAGTATAGTTACCATCTCTTGCGTCCTGCACTACTTTCCGTCTCCGCAGCTCCTCCATCCTCTCACACACGTCACTGAGGGAGGTGCCGTAGTACCGAGAGTATCCCTCCGCCAGAGAGACCAGACTCCCCACTGAGCCATCCTGAGAGAGGGGGAGAGAGGGGGAGATAAAGGGAGGATAAAGGGGAGATAAAGGGGGGAGATTATTAGGTCTCAGAGGCCTCCAGGTATCATCGAAGTGCAGATTATATAGGCAAAAAAGGCTAGATTGCCTTTCATTAGTGGAATGCTGTTTATACGAATCTTTAATAATTATTATTTCAACCAATAGTTTGGCTCTCAATAACTTCAGCATACTTCAGCTACAGAAAACCATTCAAATATCAAAATGTCAGCACATGATGGGAAACGTTCAACTTTTCTAAATATTTGATACTTTTTGAAATATTCAGCTTTTTAAACTCTTTTTTAACATGGAAGTCAATGGGAGGAAACCTTCAAATCCCTTTTACCTACACCCTTGCGCAAAATGCTACTCCTTCCACATACTTTCAGCTAGAGACTTCATTCCCAACTTTAAAATGATCACAAGACCTTCAGCTATAAAATATATTCTTCAGATTTTTGATATCTTTTACACCTTTTGAGATATTTCACTTAGTTCGGAGCTTGGTAAAGAGGCCTTCTTCAGATTTTAACATGAGTGTGTATTGAGGCAGCTCATTAAGTCTAGAGTGCTTTGATCTCAAAACAGGAGTGGAGGACAGCTTGAAATTCGCCCCAAATATTTTTTTTGAAACCTGCCATAATTCCCAAACCCTACACTCTTTGGACATCATTTATCATGAAAAACGTAGGAAAAACCTCTCCTAGGTTGGAAAATAAAAAAGAATTGGAGCAAATAAATTAAACAAAATGCCTCTTGAGGGCATGAAGAGAGAAAAACTTTCAACATGTCTCCATTAAGGGCCTATTGTAAATACAGCCTGCTCTTTCTTCACAGCAGCAGCCGCACACCTTTAGTTAATCTGCCAAAAAGGCCACATTATTGACCCGAAAGTACACAAAAAGCCCACTTCAGACGCTCATCAGGGATCCTGAGACGCTTCACGCGTTGAAATTTCACCGATATCTGCTACGGTTCTTAAACAAAACATTCAAATGTAAGAGGTTATCTCTCATTCAGACCAATGGAAAGGCTCTCCTCTCACTGATTACTGCACATCACCATGGAAACCTTTGATCTCTGGGCTCACACAGGGTGTTATGAGTAGGTGCTCAGGAACAGAAACAAACACTGACAAACAGAATGGACTTTAACAGACTGTCTCAGCCTATTATTTCTGTCTGATGGAGACTTCATACTGAGTTCAACATGTTCCACATATTTTAGACATTATTGGTGACGTATGGTTTTAGTCGAAAAGTTTGCAGTCAAAATATTCTGCTGCTTTCTCAAGCCTTTTTACTTTCTCACACATTCATTCACTACTACTTACATCTGATATTTAACTCCTTCAGCCTACTTTCAGCTGCACAAACTATTCAACTATTACATTATTCAGCTATTTCAGGACATCAAGGCTATACATGTTTTTTTAAACCTTTTCTTTTAAATAAATGCA